AGAGCAGCGCCCCAAGTGGGCTGACAGTCCGAAGACCTTCGTTTTGCAACAGGCGAACGTGTCAGGTGGTGGCTGGAGGGTAGTTCGGCAGCGGCCTTATGAGCAGAGCTGGGTGCATCAAGATATCGTGATAATCTCGTGTTCCTCCCTGGCCGAAATTCGGGGTTCTCGCAGTCTGGTTAGTTTGCGATTCCCCGCGCAACTGACGACGCGCCCCCGTGAGATGGCGGAGCTTCCCCCCGGTGGGGCGGACAGACTTGCGTTCCAACTTTAGGCGGGTGATGGTCGCCATTTGGGTTCCAATCTCTTTTATTTTCTTCCGGTTTTTGAGGGCCGCCCATTTTGCCGTGTCTCTTTTCCCCTCCACGCGGGTTCCCACAGAAAACTACGTCGCGGGTGCCGCCGTTCAGACGATAGAGCGGAGCATGTCGCAGCGTTGAGCGGCGATTCTGATCGACCGCGCAGACGGCGCTGCCCGGGCGGTTCAGGAGCGATGTGCCAGGCAGGTCACGCCCGCATCAAGGGCCAATGAAAACATGATCTGTTTCGACAAGTTCAAGAGGCAGCGGAATAAATAATTATCCCGGCAAAGCAACCTAACAGCGATGTGTAGAAGCATATATGGAAACATTCCCCTTAAGATCCAGATGAGAATCCAGTTGTAGAATTCTCCTGTTCTCGCAGTCGCAGTCGCATTCGCGATGACAGTCGCAGTGGCAACGGCAGTCACAGTCACAGCCTCAGCCTCAGCCTGCCTCAGTATCAGCCTGCCTCAGCCTCAGCCTCAGCCTGCCTCAGCCTCAGCCTCAGCCTGCTTCAGCCTCAGCCTCAGCCACAGCCTGCCTTCAGCCTCGGCCTCAGCCTCAGCCTGCCTCAGCCTCAGCCTGCATCAGCCTCAGCCTCAGCCTCAGCCTCAGCCTCAGCATCAGCCTGCCTCAGCCTCAGCCTCAGCCTGCCTCAGCCTCAGCCTCAGCCTGCCTCAGCCTCAGCCTCAACCTTTTCCTCAGCATCAGCCTGCCTCAGCCTCAGCATCAGCCTGCCTCGGCCTCAGCCTCAGCCTGCTTCAGCCTCAGCCTCAGTCTGCCTTCAGCCTCGGCCTCAGCCTCAGCCTCAGCCTGCATCAGCCTCAGCCTCAGCCTCAGCCTGCCTCAGCCTCAGCCTCAGCCTGCCTCAGCCTCAGCCTCAGCCTGCCTCAGCCTCAGCCTCAGCCACAGCCTTCAGCCTCAGCCTCAGCCTCAGCCTCAGCCTCAGCCTGCCTCAGCCTCAGCCTGCCTCAGCCTCAGCCTCAGCCTGCCTCAGCCTCAGCCCTCAGCCTGCCTCAGCCTCAGCCTCAGCCTCAGCCTCCGCCTGCCTCAGCCTCAGCCTGCCTCAGCCTGCCTCAGCCTCAGCCTCAGCCTTGCCTAAGCCTCAGCCTCAGCCTCAGCCTCAACCTTAGCCTCAGGGCCAGCCTCAGCCTCAGCCTCAGCCTCAGCAAGCCTGCCTCAGCCTCAGCCTGCAGCCTCAGCCTCAGCCTCAGCCTCAGCCTCAGCCTGCCTCAGCCTCAGCCTCAGCCTGCCTCAGCAGCAGCCTGCCTCAGCCTCAGTTGGCTACGGGCATTCAAAATGTGGCCCGGGAATGGAGTTCTGGGAACTCGAAGAGCACGAAGTGGCCTACAGTTGGCTCCGGGCATTCAAAATGTGGCCCGGGAATGGAGTTCTGGGAACTCGAAGAGCACGAAGTGGCCTACAGTTGGCTCCGGGCATTCAAAATGTGGCCCGGGAATGGAGTTCTGGGGACTCGAAGAGCACGAAGTGGCCTACAGTTGGCTCCGGGCATTCAAAATGTGGCCCGGGAATGGAGTTCTGGGAAGTCGAAGAGCACGAAGTGGCCTACAGTTGGCTCCGGGCATTCAGAATGTGAGGGAATGGAGTTCTGGGAGGTCGAAGAGCACGAAGTGTGTGACTGTTGGCTTAAAACGACTTCTGCGGCACCCTGTCCGGCACCCGCCCAGACCCCCCTGTGGAGTCATCTGCTGCTCTCTTTTGAGACCACTAGAAACCTATCAGTCTTCGCTGTTAGGTAAAAACCGAGATGGATTTCTGACGGTCTCGATCAGGCATGACGTTCTTGAGCGTCGATCCGGGGCCCACCACTGCGTGGTCCGCTCATGGTGCCGCGGACACTGCGCTGCATCGGCGCGAACCGGAATTCAGGTTCCTTGAGCCTCTCAAGCGACGCTTCGCGGCGTAGATGGAGTGCCGCCAGGGCCAGGCCGACGTGCGAATAGTGGTAAATCTGTGGATCTACGGGTTGTCAAAACCCATGGTGCGCGCTCCGTTGGGGATTGTCTGGCGGCCGCACCTGCGTGGCGAAGCGTGCGATCCTGGGCCTGATCCGCCGACCTGCATCGCGTCGATGGAGCGGTAACGCCGCGCTGTGCCGACCCTGGAGACACTTTGTCTAGCCGCCAGCTCGCAGCGCCGCGAACACAACAGGATCGCCCGCCCGCGACCGTCGAGACGCTTGAGGACCGCCCGCGTCGACGCCCCAAGTCTTTGACGAGGCATCGCGCTCGCGGCTCGCCGGGCGCATGGCGACCCGCGGCGCGGGGCGAATCTGCCAGGGCCCGCGCGGCTCAGCCACCCGCGCCTGTTCAGATCGACCATGGTGGCGCCGAAGAGGGCACGGCATTTAAGTTTAGTTTCGCGCCCGTCGCGTCGTCGCGCGCTGCAGGGCCAACGGCGCGGCCGACCGCCAGAACTGGACAGGGCTTTGAAGTTCGCGCGGCGTGCCCCGAGATGGGCGCCGGGTTGCCGCCAGTCGTTTCTAGCGACCCATCGATGCCAATCTTCGCTGCTACGTTCGAAAAAATGGAGAAAAGGCGGCGCGGACCGTGGCAGGGCAGTATATGATGGAGCGCCACGAGGACAGCGACCCTGCTGACACGACGCCGCCCAAGTCTCTCACGAGCAGCACCAGGCCATTCTGGAGAAAACCAACGACGCTAGCCCGTACCGCGCGCTGGGAATTGACCGCGATTGCATGGCCAAGAACATCGAACGAGGTCGCCACGCGGCGTTCCCGCCCCACGCAGCGGACGCGTTGGAGCCCCTAGGGGACGAGCACTGCTCTGGGCAGAGGAAGATCGACTGTTGCGCGCTGGACGCGGAGATCTGGTCGGCAGTGGAGAGTTCAGACCACGTCGAGACGTGCATCAAGGATCTTTGTTTCAAACACAGGTCCTAGGTGCGTATTCTTGCCATCCCTCGGCGCCGGGTTCGACCGGGTCGATGGGATATCTGGCAGACAAGCCGTGCTCTGGAACGAGGCGGCGGCGGAGCATGATGAGAACGTCGCCACGCTAGCCTGCAGCGATTAGGGCCCAAGTCGGGCAGGGTCGCCCCATCGCTGCTTCAACCAGCGACGAGGCTCAACCCATGGACATTGATGACGTTGCTGGCACAGCCGGTGTTGCCACGGATTGTGCCGCCACCGGCTCAGCGAGTGACGTTGCTGCTAGTGCCGCGGCTGGCTCACTTAGTCAGTGACGTCGCTTCTAATGCCGCCGCTGGCTTAGCCAGTGACGTCGTTTCTACTGCCGCAGCTGGCTCGGCCAGTGGCGCCGCGAGCATCCCCTGCCCTCCACCTCCACTTGCTGCTCCAGCTGGCCGTCGTCCTGCTCTTGAGCGCACAGGCTCTGCGCCGCCGTCTTCGGTCCGGCGCGCGGGCAGTAACCCGTCGCTGCGAGTTGGCGGCGATGTGATCTTGACCGCGGCTCCGCCGACTGCTGCTGATTCGTCCATGGCCTCTTCGGTCCAGCGCCGTCGCGGCGCTGAAACTCCAACATCAGCATGGCTGCGGTGATGCTCGGGACTAGGATCGCAACGTCGATCGGTTCGCGGGCAACGGCTGGTGCGTCCACGACTGGAATGCCCAGAAGTGGTCCGGGTGGTCCAACATCGCGCAAAACCGATGGAGGGATGAGCGCATTGATATACCTCACAAGGGGAAGGGCATTGGCAATAACGACGACACCAGCCAGAACCAGGAACATGGCGCATGGAGGTGGTAAACAAACTGCGGACAGAGGATGGGGCGCGCGGCTTAGCTGCGCATCGCCAGGGGCTTCCTGGTCCTAGAGATCATGGTGAAGTCTCCGGAGCTGGCACGCGCCATATTGCGGGGATGTGTACGTCGGTCTGCTTCGGCTTAGTTTGAAGAGCCCTGCCAGGTGCAGCTGCGCCCCGCTTTGTGCGCCGTAAAGTCTTCCCTTGCGTATGGCACCTATGGGGCCGAAGCGCTCTCGGATGGCGCGAAGCCTGGTAACTTTCCGAAGCGGGCTGAATCCAGGCCAGCGCGCCCCGCCGGGGGGGAGTTGTTAAGACTCTGGCCTTGCCGTCTTCTTCTTCGCCGCCGCCTTCATATATGGAACGTTGGATTTTATCGCCATCGTGCTGTCCCGCAGCTGCTGGATGTATTCAAGAGTGGGAAAAAGGGCGCGCCTGCCGTCGTCTGTCGTCGCCGGCCGGCCGGTTTCCTCCCTACCTATACCCGGGCACTCATCAGCTTAACGGATAGGTGCCATGCTGGACTCGCTGGTCCAACCAGCCGAGCTCCGTCCCCTGAGTCTTCATGTTGAGGTGGGGGCGTTGAGATCATGAGGGCGGATTTTGCCAAGCCTGCGTCAAAAAGGCTCCAGGGACTTCCGAGCTGGCCGCCGACGCCGGATCGGCATACGTGAAGAGTTGGCGTCCTCCAGAGATGTCCCGAGCGGTGCTCCCAGGATTTGTAGGCAGGCACCCACGGCCTCCAGAGCACCCAGGGCTCCAGGGACTCCAAAGCGATGCGAGAAGCCAGGACCACCTTCCATGAACAGTTTTGGCGACCCCCGATCTGAAGAGGATCCTTCTGCGTCGTCGTCGCCATCGGCTTCGTCTTCGGCGTCGGCGTTGGTATCGACAACGGTGTCGTCGCGCCCGCCCGCGCGCGCGGCTGCCGAAAAAGGGCGACTTGCGCCTCAGGCGGCCCCGGCAGCTTCATGGGCGCGGGCATGGGACCCATGAGCGGCATGCCCGGGCAGGGCGGCATCTTGTCCCAGGCGGGCCCGTCATGTTGGGAGGCGGGGGGCGACGACGGAGAGGAGGACGGAGAGGACGAGGAGCGCGGGGTTGGACGAGGGGGGAGGATGACGACGACGACGACGACGATAACAACCACAACGACAACGACGAAGAAGACAAGGGGCCCATGGGCGCAATGCGGGGGCAGGGGGCGTCCTCCTCCAGGCGGGCCTCGGATCGAGGTCTTTGGAGTTCGAGGGTCGAGGCGTTGGGACGTCGTTGGGCCTCCTGGGGCCCCCGCCTCGAAATCGTGGCCACAGCGCTACCCCGGGACAGGCCTGGGCGATGGCTTTGCACTCTCCCTTTGTTTTGGTGGCGGCCAGATCCCCACGGCCTGAACGTGCCCATCCTTCCCTCCGAGGCCGCTTTCCTCCGCTCTCGTTGCCCGTGCTATCGTCATCACTTCACCTTGCAGCGACCCCGCCCAGGCTCCGACCGCTCCGCAGAATCGCTGGACAGCTTGGGTTATCGTGTGTCAAACATCGGCCCTTGGATTTGTGCTGAGGTGCGTCCGGGCCAGAAGATCGGGGGGCCCAAGAGGTTCAAAGTCTCGAACCTCCACCCCCCGATCCTCCACCAGCCATGCTCGAACTTCGAAACCATACTATTGATCGCTGGACCTGTGCACGGGTGCTGTCCTGCATGCTGTAATTTCTGGGCTGAGCCAGCCGTGGCGACGAGCGCGCCCCCAGGAGGCCCCAGCGAGGCCCCCACAGAAGACCCAAGAGCCTCGACCTTCGAAGCTTCGACCCCCGATGACGACGACGACGATGGCGGCGACGACGACGACGACGACGACGAGGTTCTCGCTCGACAACCTTCGCTCGAAGTGGGACAAACTACAGAAACATAAACTGTCGGAGGTCCATGCGGACTTCCTGGATCGGCGACAGACCCTCCTCCCTGGCGCGCTCTGCCTGGGGCGCCGCCAGGGGGGCACATGGCAAATTTGAGAAATCCGAGCTGACCTCCCAAACTCTATGTTTGTACAGTTTGGTTTGATTGTCGTCCTGAACCATACAAGTCCTCGTCTTCTTCCTCTTCGTACCCTTCTTCTACTCGCGGTGCCCCTTTCACCCCCACCCCCCAGAGAGGTGCGCGCTGCGAGCACGAACCCCGACGAGGTCCAGATCCACGTGGCCGTGCCCGACGGGCTCTCCGCCCCCCCCCCCCCCGCTCGGACTGGCCAGCCGCCCGCGGCCCCGCCTCTCGGGCCGCCGCCGCCGCTGCCTCTGTCGCCGCCGCCGCCGCCGCCGTCGCCGCCGTCGTCGCCGTCGTCGTCGTCGTCGGCATGGCGTTCAAGAAACGCCGTTTAGGGCACACGCCTCGTGTGCCCTCGCAATTGCATCTTTAGAGTTCGTCACCGTGCGCTAGCGTCTGTAATCGATGAGGAAGCGCCGATTTAGCGCCTACTAGCGTCGATCTATCGTCGATTAGCGTCGATTCGTGTCGGTTTGCGTCGGTTCGCAAGAGCCAGCAAGATGGCACGCGCGGCTCCCATGAGTTGCCACCGAAGCGTCAGCAACGCCTTCGGTCATGGCTGGCACTGGTTTCCGGGCCGTCCTCTTTGAGTTTATGCGGTCGCCTTTTCCGCAGTCTGTTCCAGCGGCAGAAAATTAATTGACGTATAGTCCCGTTGTGTCCTTATCTTAATCGTCACTACGCTGCATAATTCGGGGGGGATTGTATGTTACGTGCGTTTCGGTACTTCCTTGCATCCAATCTGGGCTGGACTCGGGTTCGGCGTGGTCACAGGTCGGCTGGCATCTGACCGGGGAGTGCTCCCAGTGCGGAGGCCGCTCTTCCCTGGCGGGCAGAGGAGGCAGTGGGGGCCTGCTACGTTGCATGGATCGCCAGAGGTGGGCACTTGCCTGGGGATCTGGCCGCGTTCCAGTGGAAGCATGGGCGGCCGAGGGGAGCGCCATTCCCTGCGCGGGCCCTCCTTTCGCTGCCACGGCTTCAGAAGGATGCGCGCTGGCGGAGCGCATTTGGGCGCTGACCGCATGGCACTTCGCGTGGCGTGCCCGTCCAGCGGCGTGGTAATCGTGTCGAGGACCAGGAGGATAAGGACCAGGAGGAATGCCAGGATGCATCAACGATGCTGCAACACACCCTACCTCGCAAATCCCCTCACGCATTGCTGCAAGCCTTCCTTCTTACTACGGGAAGCGTCCTCTTGCAAGACCTGATGTGCCTGCCACTCATACGAGAGTCCCGCTTTGAAATGTAAGTGTGTTGCAGCATTCTAGCCAGGAGTGAGGAGGGCAAACAGTCAGGATTTTAAAGTGCAGCGAGGAGTCCTGCGAGATCTCTTCTTGAAAAGGGGCCGTCCCAAATTCGTGCAATTGCTGCTCAAGATGAGTAAGTAACACGTCTGGGCATTTAGTTCGAGTTCGAGGAAGTCTCAGCTGGGTGCCCCGTTTTGAAAGGAACTACCCTCAATGCGTGCAGCTGGCAGATATTTGTCAAGCGAAGGACACACGTTCAAAGGAGCCATCCCTCCGTCCATGTAGCAGTTGCACGGTTTTTAAGACGAATGCGGGATGCGCTAAGACGAACACCGTAGTTTGAAAAAGAGCCGCCCTCCATCCGATGTACTGTGACAAGCACTAAGACGAATGTGCGCGGCACCATGACGAGAACAGCATTGTGAAAACGATTGGCCTTCAATATTAGAGCAAACTGGGCTTTTCAGCTTCAGGATACCAAATCACAGGTAACTCTCAAGCGAGACGTCTGGCCCTGCCTACGGACAAGTGTGGTGGTGCGACAGGGGGAAGTTGTGTATGAGGAAGCGGGATGGGGGAGCACGCCGACGACGACGTGAGAGGACGACGAAGGCGGTGATCTTTAGCAACAGTTGTTCCTTCACAGAGGCAGGGATTTGGTCCCGGATCGTATGATGGCCCCGTACATTGAGGTGGGCCCCCAGACGCCTAGAACGGCGAAACGCATATGCCTCGACTTATCCATGGCGTACGAGGTCTACGTAAGGGGGGGAGGAACTCAACGTCGATGACGCGGACGACGACTGTCGACGACGAAGCTCCGATTGCCAGGTGCGGTCTCCGCTCGAGCCTCCCCGCCAGGCTGGCGGGTTCCATTTTCAGCACCCTCCAGCGATGTGTGTAGAGGAGTACATGTAGGAGTACGAGGACGAGGAGGAAGAGACGGAAGATGACGATGAACGACGACGACGACGACGACGACGACGTCGACGCCGACGACGATGACGACGACGACAGATGACGACGTACAACGACCTCCGACGACGGACAACGACGACGACGACAGACGACGAAAGACGACGAGGATGACGACAACGACGACGATGACGCAGGTCCGAATGCGCTTCGCGGCCTCGGCCCCCGCCAGGCTGGCGGGCGCCATCATCGGCAAGGCTGGCGATCAGATCAAGCAGACGGCGGCCACCGCAGGCCCGCCCGTTGGCCCCTTTGGGATTCTTGGGGGGAGCGTAAGTGGGGGGGCGATGAGTGTGGGGGGGGGGGCAGCGAGGGCTGCCGAAAAGGGGCCCCTTAGGGCCCTTAAAGGGGCCCGTTAGGACCCCCAAGGGGGCAGTCAGGGCCCGAAAAGGGTACATTTCTCCCCCTCCCCCCCCCCCTCTACCGCCCCACCATTAATTCGCGCCCAAGACTCCTCTTCTCGAGGTTCCAGGGTCGAGTATATTTGTGAGTCTCTGGCTCTTTCTGGGCCTCGGGGGGCGCTCCCGAGGTTCGAGGAGGCCTCTTTTAGGCCCCGCGGGGACTCTTTTGAAAAACGTGCGAGCGGCTCAGTGCGGATTCCGCCCTGGACGAGGAACAGCATAAAGTTGCATGCTCGTAAGGCGTATCTTTGATGTTGCGAATGCAAGCGTGGATGGAGGGCTCTTGATGTTGATGCTGGATTGGGCTGAAACTTTTGACATATCATATGTGGACTGAACGCGCCAAGCTTTCGGAAGATTTGGGCTTCCTGCCGAAATGCCCAAGATGGAGCGCTGTATGTTTTCGGCTTGTTTCTGCGTCATTGAGGACCACACCGGTATTTCGACAGAGCAACGACAGAACGCTGGAATCGCACGGGGGTGCCCACGTTATCCATACTTATTCATAGCTGTCCAGACCGTTATGCTGGACGACGCAATCCACCCGCTACATGTGGAAGAAGAACCTGGATACGTAGTGACCTGGGATGCTTCCCATGCTGAAGACATGAAGTTGGAGTAGGGGGAGCAGTATTCTTTCAAATGTCAGCATGTAAAAGGATCACGTCGCCAAGCGGTGGCGGCACGATAACAAGGCGGCATGCTGTATACTCCCCAATCAGTGCTTGCACTGAAGGGGTCCTAGCGGGTGTTGAAGGATTTGGCGAAAGTCGGTGGCCGATTTTGGTGGTCCGCCAGGTTCCCGGGTTCCCGGTTCCGGGTTCCCAGGTTACCGGTTCAGGGTTCTTGGTTCCCAGGTTCCCGGTTCTGCGTTCCCGATCGCGGAGTTCCCGGGTTTTTGGTTCCGGGTTCCTGGGTTCTTGGTTCCGGTCAGCGCTTGCATTGAAGGGATCCCGGCGGACCTTTTAATGCCCTACGGCGAGATTGCGGCCAGGCATGGTGCTTACCAAATTTGCAAACCATCGACTGATTTGGGGGTTCCTCTTGTGTAATTTGGAAGGGTTGATCACGTGGGACGGGAAAGCATCCGCCGAGCGACGCAGAGGACGTGAAGAAACAATCAAAATTTTCAAACAGTTCATCGAACTCTGGGCGCACGCACCTTCTAGAGACCGAACAGAAGATCTATGTCAACGTCGGTCTGAGCGAGTTGCTGTAGTCATTGGATTCTACCTGATGATCAACAGGGGACAAGTTTCGGCCCGACGCATTGCATTGCCGATGCTTGCGACGCACTTTTGGGATCCCATTCGTTTACTTCTCGGGTCAGCAACGCGAGTGTTCTCGACAAGGCGGCGGCGAAATAACAGTCGCAAGTAGTTGGGAAAACAACTGCAAAATAAAAACGCAGCACATAGTCCTGTAGGTGAAGCAACATGCCTGCAGTGATGATGGGACGCCGTGCGCTTGGGTTTCCAAGCCCAGATGCGGGCGACCAAGACATCAATGGACATCTTATTTGCGCAATTCGTCGTAACATACCTGGACACACGTTTCTGGTGTTGTATGTTCCACCCGTCATCCCTCCTCTTCCTCTTGCTCAGCCTCTTCTTTCCGCCTCTTTGCCAGGCTGCCTGTGCGCCTTTGATTGCCGCGCGTCCGTCCAGATGTTCGGTTATTGCTTGTTTGCCTGGGGGGGTCTCTTCTCAAGGTTTGAAAACGTCCGTTATGTTTCATCATGGCGTCGTGGACAGAGCAGGGCGGACAATTGCGGCCTTTGACGCATCCAGCTGGGTTTTCATCTGTACATCTGTTTCCCCCTCTCCAGGGTGAGTGGGTATCCCAAGAATTCCCAGCGGTCCAGAAGCGGTGTTCATTTGACTTACTAACAGCAAGTTCCTCATCCTGTCGCGGTAGGCTCGCGCAGCGTCGACGCGGCGGAGACGCGAGCGCGAACACTTCGCGCCGATTTTTCACAGCTCTGTCCTCGCCTGACTCGGCCGCCCGGCGCGGCCGCGCCGTCGGCCGCTTCCGGGCGCCGCGGTGCCTCGCGCGCGTGAAGAGATCGCGGCGGGAGTGCTCTATGTAAGACTTACACGTGCGGTTTCTGAGGGTCTTCGCCGGGTCCAGTCAACAAGAACGCCGGACCCAGATAAGCGGTTCAGATTTGTTGCGGATTCCCACGCTGTGAACAAAAAGCACGACGTCGGAGGAGGGGGGAGGCCCATGATTTTCTGCTTTGGAAATATGCCCCTCCAGACCTACAGACCTACAGTCAACGCGCCTAGCAAGGACGCGCGCCTTCATCTAGGATACCCTTCTGTCCTTGCCTCTGCGGCCCGACCTTTGCCGTTTTCACTGGTCACCCGTCACCCAAAAAGTCCGAACTTCGGCCTCCAAGGTTCTTGCGTCATTACCACCCGTCCTCAGTACACGTCCTGTTTGTATCTCGACGATCAGCAGCAAGAGTCCTGGTGTTATTGTTCGGCCCTCTTGGAAGATCCGGGGGGGGGACGGGTGCAGCGGCCGTCCTTCGTCGCCATGCAGCAGACGGGCCTTGGAGGAAGCGGGCCCTGGAAGTCCTGGGCCGTCTTCGGGCCCCCTGGGCGCTCGACGGGCCCCTGAACCGTCAAACAGCGAGCTTCGTCCACGCGCAGGGCGCGGGCCTTGTCTGCAGGTGTGAGGCCCGCGCCTTGTAAGAAGCAACCTCCTTCTAAGAGGCCTTCCCCCTCCCCCTACCCCCCTCTGCGCGCCAACAGCAGCCGAGATGAAAGAACGGCCAGCCCCAGGGGAAGCCACCGGTGTCCTGGAGCCGTTTCCCTGAGGACCCAGCTCCTTCGTGCCAATTTTGGCGCAGCGGAGGTGCGTACGTGGATGTAGCCGTAGGGCCTTGGCTGGCCCCGCAATGCTCTCCAGGCTCGATGATGTCATTGACCTCCCGCTTGCCCTGGCGGACAGGTGTGAGATAATCGTCCAGGTTCCCAGTACGCTACCCTGGCTGCTCTGGCTGGACCTTGGCCGTCTTTGCCATGCCCGCCCGCGACCCAATCCATCATTTGGGTGAGGCACAGCGTGGCGATGGCCTGGCGCGTCCTAAGTTGGATCGGGCCGCGCGGGAGCTGCAGGCCGCAAGGCCAGCACGGAAAGTTATGCGTGTCTTGCGTTCTTTTGACGTATTTCTTGCGTTCCCTGCAAGACATATTCAAACACTTTAGATACGTTCAGACGCGATCGCGCCACGGTCTCAACGAGGAGCCCTCCGTATCTATGTCGTTGAGAAGAACAGTTTGTATATGCATTTAAGATTCGTTAGTATTGCCTGCGCGGGGCGTCCGCGTATCCAAACATATCCATGTTACACTCATACCTCAATACATATGGCCGTATCTGAAAGTCTACATAGAAGCATGCCTGTGCATATATAATTACTACTCTTCGATGTTGCAGCAACAAATCTAATCGCTTCTAGTTTTCCCAGATGGATCGTCACATCACTCCTCCTCCTTAGCGTTCATTGTCACAGCTCTTGCTCTTGCTCTTCCGTATCCTGCTCCGTATCCCTCTCATCCTCTTCCCCGCTGCCTTTCTCAGTATTCATCCCCCTCAATGATCGCGTTGTTCATCATCCACAGCATCATTGCACTCCTCCCCCTCCTCGTCATCATAAGCATCGCCATCCTCTCTGCCATTCTCACTCCTCCTCCTCCTCCTCCTCCTCCTCTTACTCGCTCCTCTTACTCGCTCGCCCTCCACGCCCCTCCTCCGCTCCGCCACGCCTCCTTGGGATGAGGAGGGGCATTGATGAGCGAGGGGTCTCGGGGGGAGTGCGGCGAGGGATTTCGTGTGGAGGGGCGAGGGGCGAAGGTCGGAGAATGGGAGGAGGCAAAAGGTAAGGGAGGGGCGAGGGGGGAGAAGGAAGGGAGAACGAAGTAGGAGAGCAGGGAGGAGCGAGGGGGGGAGGAGAGAGGCGGGGAGGAGACGAGAAGAGGAGGGGAGTGGGAGAACGGGAGTGAGGGAATTGGGGAGTGAGGGGAGTGAGGGAGGAGGGAGGAGGGAGGATGGAGTGAGGGAAGGGAGAGAGCGGCGAGTGACGAGCAAGGATACGGGGGACAAGATGGTGGGAGGGAGCGAGGAGGGAGGAAGGGGGAACGAGTGGGAGTGAGGAGGGTGCAGGAGAAGGAGGGAGTCACGGAGGGAGGCAGAGGGAATGAGGAAGGATGGAGGAAGGGAGTTCGGAAGTGAGTGGCAGGTGGAGCGAGGAGGCAAAAGGAAGGAGAAAGGGAGGACAGGGGAGAAACGGAGAGGATGGAACAGAGAATGACGACGAGGGAGGCGACGGGACAGAGCAGCCATCTGAATCCGTTTCACGTTCGAATTGTATCCAAATCCTTTGCACTTTTTCACCTCACGCCCTCATCATATGTTTCCTCCGTGTCTCCTTCCTCCTCTTCCTCCCCCTCCTTTCCCTAAGCAACCTCTCAGTCAGTCTCCATCCTTCCTCCTCCCGCCCGCCGTCGCTTCAGTCTCGACCCCGCCTCCCTCCTCTTCCTTCCCCCTCCCGTTGCCTCCTCACTCCAAATCCAATCCCTCACCCCCGAACTCTCTTCTTCCATCCTCCCTCAATCCTGTCTGCCTCTCTTGGTGACCCCCATACTCCCCCCGCACCCTCCGCGCGCCCAATCTGTTCCCCTTCCCCCCTCCCTCCTCGATCCCTCCCCCGCCCCCCCCATCTATCCTTACTCATCGCTCGTCCCTCCCTACTCTCCCTCATTACTCCTCCCTCACTCCCCTCACTCTCCCGTTCCCTCCTTCCCTCCCTCCCTCCTTTTCTCGTTTTCTCCCTGCCTCCCCCATTCTCGCCTCCCTCACTCCTTCTTGCCCTCACATTCCTCCTTCTCCCTTCTCCCTTCTCCCTTCTTCCTTCTCACTTCTCACTCCTCCCTCACCTTTTCCCTTGTCCCTGTCTCCCTGCTAGTCCCTCCGCCCCGAATCCCTCGCTTCCCTGTCCCCTGGCCCCCTGGCACCCTCACTCATCACTCCCCCTCTTCATCCTCCGATGGGGGGTGCCGAGATGGAGGAGCAGCGAGGAAGGTGAGCAAGGAAAAGGGGGAGGAGTGACAGGGATGAGGAACACGATGACGATGATGCTCATGATGATGAGGAAGAGGAGGGGCGTGTAATGATACTGCGGATGAGGGTCAACAAAATAGTGCGAGGAGCATCGAGCGGGTCAACGAGGAGGATGAGGATGACGGGGAAGCGAAGGAGGGTACGGAGGAGGAGCGAGACCAGGAATTTGACGATGTATATTGAGGCGTTGAAGTCTTGGGATGATGCGCAGGAGTTAGGCAGAGAAAATGACAAGATAGGGGTGCGGAGGAGGAGCAGGAGGAGGGGGAACGGCATCGAGGAGGAGCGCGGAGAAGGCGGATGATTGATGACGCCTGGCGAGCGAATGAGAGGATGATACGAGGGATGCGGGGAGCGAGGACATTGAGGAGGAGGACGAAGGGGGATAAGTAATGTTGGGGAGGAAGGGGAGGAGCGACGATGGCTGACTATACAGGATCTTGTGATATATAAATCCATAATAGATTGCATAGCGAGGACAAGCGAGGCAAAGCGGGTCAGGACACGAATAACCACTAGGACGATGAGCCGCGAGGAGGGCAAGTGTTATGTACAGTTTTCAAACGTACCTTTTACATAAATTGAGCATTTACACTCCATGCGCTCGTTGCCGCCGTATCTTAACATGTGTAACGTATTTTTTACGCATCCACAATTCACTCCGGATCCCAAAGTCATAATGAATTGTAGCGTCAGTACCTAAACATTTCCAAACAGGCATCCATTCATTCCCGAGCGCATCCAAACTCAAACAAGATCTACACATATCTAAACATATCGAGTTTCCCTACAGAAAATATGCTTTGATGCCATACACCAGCACAATGATTAGATACTGCTTGGGGCGTTCTGAAATGCACCAACTCCAAGGGAACGCACACTGATTCTATATTCGCAGGTCTGTCTTGCAGAGTTCGGTTTCAGAAGTTTCGGAAGGGGCGGGTCGAAATCGGTGTCGGTTGCTGCCTCTGCTGGGGTGGCCCCACGGACGTATGGGATATCCGCCTTCCTTCCCGCCGTGCTCGTCCCATCCCTTCTGTCAAGAGGCGGGAAGCAAAGGAGGAACGCCACATTTGGAATCCAACCACCCGCTACGAACGAAACCTGTACCCCTGCACGAAACCTGTTTTTGCGGCCTCTTCTAGCAGAGGCCCGACCAATCAGGAGGTTTGTGACAAATGTCATGGCCCGCGGCAGTGGAGGCTTCGCACTTGCACTGCCAAGGAAAGTGCGTGCCATTGCCTGCGGCACTCTGTTGGTAGGGATCGTGGAGTCAAGAAATCGTGGAACCAAAACCGATTGGCCCTTGAGCCAACGACTTCGTCCTCTTCCTCTTCCCTTCACCTCCCCCTCCTTTCATTATCATTATCCTATTGTTGTCCTCCTCCTCCTCATCATCATCATCATCCTCCCATCCTCCACCCCGACGACAGCAACAACGGCGGCGACGACGACGACCCAGCAGCCCCGACGGCGGCCCCGACGGCAACGGCGACGGCGACCCCCGCCGCCCGCGGCCCCGACGGCGGCGGCGGCGGTGGCGGCCCCGACGGCAGCGGCGCCCGGCGCCCAGCGTCTCGCTGGCCTCCCCGAGGCTGCCGCGTGTCGATGTCCTCCCGGGAGAGCGGCGGAAAGCGCCACGCCGTGTGCCAGGGCTCGTTCTCGCAGTGTATGCGGGGGCCTCGGCGCCCCCTTGGCGGCTTCCGCTGCAAAGATCGACGGATTTGGGGAGGTTTGGGCAACGATCGGTCGCGACCGAAAGGATCGGTGACGTGGGCATCGGCGGTATCGGCGGTGACGGTGAAGTCGGTGTCCGCGGTATCGGCGGTATTGCCCGCGACCGGCCGCTGGGCAGCCGGGCCTCGGGGCTCGAGGATGGAGATTCGAGGATTGAGGATCAAGTTTCGAGGAGCGAGGTTCAAGGATCGAGGATGCAGAACATTCGAGGATCGACGAACGAGGTCCGAGGATTGAGTTTCGAGGATCGAGGATCAGAAGGATCGAAGATCGTGGTTCCGGGTTCGGAGGGTCGAGGCCGCCCCTCAGTGTTCGAGGGCGACGGTCCGCGAATGCAGAAGGTGTCTGGAGTGTTTGGGCGCTCATGCGGCTCCAGAGGCGCTCTCGTCGCCACGGCCGGAGCCGTTCCGACATCTTGGCCAGAATGCGCCCCAGGGGCCGACAGAATGACCGCCGCGCTCTGATCTCGCGAGGGATTAGTATGACAGTCCCGGCGTTTTCTTCGACTTCGGCATCTGAGGGGAAGCTGATCTTCACTTGCGGCAGGTGCCGCGCAGCACTAACGGTTGCCATGCGGAGGGTGTGAAAGGTGGAGGTCTAGTGTTCTTGCTCGACTCGGGTGAGTTGGCCCGAAGGCGCTTCACGGAGAACCCACAGCTGAAGCCGAAGCCAAAGCTGAAGTGCATAGATAACTGGAGAGGGCCCACCCTGCAGGTTTGGTTGACAGCACATGATTGAGCTGTGCCGCAGCCTCTCCTGAGCACAGACCCCCCCAGAGCATCAGCTACTGCCACCGGCTCAGGTGACGGCGACAGTGGCGGTGGCCGACGCGTCCAAAGAGTCCCGGGACCGATATCAGGTGAGGTCGAGCCGTTGCTTTGGCATCGCGGACCTTTGGCGATGGCCTTCTGTTCCTCAATTTGAGCCTCTGGGACTGGTTTCAGGGCCCTTGGCCCATCAGAAAAAGAGTTGTGACAGAAGTTCAGACCCAGGGGATGGACTCGAGAGCTCTGGTCAGGCAGGCCCGGGGTCAAGACAGCTCGTTCCAGAGCGCTCCAGAACGCTGTCAGACTGTACTGGAGCGTTGGGGGCGCGTTGGAGAGCTACTTTTCTCGCCCGCCGAGGTCAGGATGATGTGAGTTCCAGCTTCAAAGCCAACATTGACAACAGTTTCGCAAATGGAGGGCGGGTCGCTTGATTGCAGGAGCTTCACAGATTGAGAGCGGATCGTTTTCAAAATGTCGTTCTCGCTTTAGCGCCGCGCACAATGATTCTGAACACTTGCAAGAACTTCGCGGATCGTGGGCCGGTCGTTTTCAACATGTTGTTCTCGCCTTGGCGCCGCGCACGGGTTCCCATGGTTCACGTACCAGAAAACATGTTTGGCACGACGTAGGATTGCCAATGCGCAACAATTATGTTAATTCGCGGCGTTGACGTCCAAGGAATGTTGTTCTGGCAAGATTCAGGATCGCCAAAACACAATAATAAGGTGGATTCGCCACGTTGAAGTCCCAAGTGGTGCTCTGGCACGGTTCAGGATTTTCAGAGGGTTGTTTTCCAACGGGGCATTCCCATCAGTGGAAATGAACCTTTCTAGGGGTGTAGAAGGCAGGAGCTTGGACGGACGATTTATTGCAACATTGCCATGGGTGTTTAGGTTTGAACTGGTCCGCTTCTCTTCCTCCTCCTTCTCCTGCTTCTCCTCGTTCTCGTCCTCCTCCTCCTCCTCGTCCTCCTCCTCCTCCTCCTCGTCCGTGTCTCCACATTTGCCCAGCAAACTAGTTTTTGTCCCGGCGCACTGTCTGCTTTCTTGGCGGAGAGCCAGGCAAGAGTCCATTGGTCAGCTTTCCATTGGGAGTTTGGCACGTAGGTTTCGCCTTCCAAAATCGTCCTCACAATTTCAATCTAGATTCGGTTGCACAGTCACATCGGGAAATCCAACCCTGGTGCGGCCAAGAGGGGGGTGATGACTATGGGGGCATGGATATCATGGCGGGGGCCACGAAATCTCCCCAGGTTTCCTGGCGCCCCTTCTCATTTCAACACGTCCCTGGCCGCCCCCCCCCCACGGCCGCGCACGTGCCTTTGGCGAGCCCCCAGGCCTAAAGAACTTCTAAGGAGCCCCGAAGGATCCTCTGAGAAGTCTCTCATGAGCATTTATGCACCTTCTGAGGAGCCTCTATTGGTTTTTGAGAAATGTAGTCTGTCACTCCCGTTTTAGAGCAGCTCGCCGGGAAATGATTCCAATTACTGGGAACGGACCCAGCTTCAGGAAGTAGAGTCTGTGCTTTCTCATCCCCGTCCTCCTCCCTCCTCCTCACGCGGTCCGAGACGACCGCGCGCAGCGCGCCGCTTGCCGCGCCCGCCAGGCAGTCATCCTGGTGGTGTCTCCCACACTCGCGAGGCGAGGCGAGGCCGTCGGCAGGGGGAGGGAATGCCATGTCCGTCCTCCGCTTCCTCGGCTTCAGCCCTCTGTGGGCAAGTGGCGATAGGTTATGCGAGATTATGGGGGAGACACGGAACTTTGACGCAGTAGCATTGGCAGGCACGAAGAGTGTGGACCGTCCGCAGCAAGGGCTCAGAGTTCTACGCCAGCGCTGTGCAGGCCGAGTCGTTCTGGAGTCACCGTTTTTCGATTCGCCGTACAGTAACAACAGTTGTGGGTGTGCTATCGGCTTTGGCAGTCAAATGCGTGAGCAGAATATCATCAGAACGTGGGTCCGCCCACCAGAGGCGCGTGGCCGAGCACTAGCTGCAAGAGCAAAATGTGGTCCTATCGACATTTGTCCCATCGTCGTTTATTTTCCTCCGAGACCAAAGTATCGTGCTCAGAGGCCTCAGTAACTATCGACGGTACGTCTCTTAGTGACATGGCTGTCATGCGTGTTGAGTGAACTACCACACCGATGCACCCCACTGCTCTATTGTGATCTCAATGATGGGATTGGTCAGTCTCGTGGCTCTCATGGGTGGGAAGATGTTGGCACTTCTGTGGTTATCGATGTACCGACGCAGGAGATGATGCCTCGAGGTGCAGGACAATTGATGCGGGAGCGCATGGAGTCTCATTTCATGGTGGCTAGTAATACAGCTGGTCAGCTTCAACATACTTTTTTGGGGCCTGAAGGCGCCTCGAGTCGTATCGACTACGTCTTTTATCCCTCGGCGATGCAGCATTTGGTGAGAGGGTGCTTCCCCTTGAAGGGGCTCGGCGCCAAACTACAAGCAATTCGTGGACAATCGCCGCGGGATCATGTACCTGTGATGCGCGCGTTGACTTACGACAAGGCCGGCTTGCTGGGAGGACCTGCTTCTACGCAGCTCCGCTGGAACCGAGATCTCATGATGGCTTCACTTCGCCAGGGAAAAGGCAGACGTGAGTACTTGATGGCGGCCAAGGAAGAGATCGACAAACTACCTTTTGCCTTCTTGAAAGATCAGGTCTCCCCCGACGAACTGTTCGAGCGGTTGGAGGATGCACCAATTTCTGACAGCGAATTTTCTCACAGTCAAGTCGCACCAGTCCCGGGCACAAAGGAAATGCGGAGAGACGGCGTCAACTTCTGGCTGCGCGGGTTCGTCTTCGCGGCGCAAAGTTGGGCATGAGTGATGACGAAGCGCAACGGGTCGATGCTGGGCTCCGCGTTCTTTCCGCCGAACTCTCTGCTGAGCGACGTCGTGCTGCCAGATCTCTTCGCTCTCAGTTGCTGGAAGAGGCATCGGAGCAGTGGCGACGGCGGTATACTTCTGAAGCGCTCTCACTATCCAGGCGTGCGGCTCGCTGTAGAATGGGCCCGAAGAACAGAGACGGGCGCCTGGTGCAGGGGCCCCCTCCGAGTCGGGAGGAGCGGCTCCAAGTCTGGCGAGCTCCTGGGGGCGAAGGAGGCATGATGGTGGAGGAGGCAGACTGGGAAGCTTGGAGGGCTGAGAGGGAGGGGGAGACGTACGACTGGGACCTGACGGAGGAGGAGCAGGAGCTAGCCCATCAGGATTTTAAGTTGATCAGGTCTTACATCAAGAGGGCACCGAAGAGGAGAGCAGTTCCCGAAGGTAGTGCACCTCTAGAGCTTTGGCACCAGCTACTTTACCCCAACTGGAGGGCGGCGCAACAACAAGGGGGAGTAGGATATGACGAGTCGATGCCCGAGGTTCCTGGGTTCTGGTGGATCCTCTCGGTGGGCCTCGCGAAGGTCCGACACTCTCAGAAGGCCCCGCCATATTGGCATCGTAGTCGAGGGGCTGGCCTACCCAAAAGCGCACAGCACGGTCCCCGAGGAAAACGAGTTGTACATGTGTTGCCTGTTCTTGGGGAAGCTTTTTATTCCAAGATGTTGAATTGCCCTCTCAGCAAGACCACGGCCTCGTCGCCCGCAGGAGGCGCGAGGCCGCCATTTTCATCGCCCAGGTGACTTGTTGGCGACTGTGCCGTGTTCGGCGCTCCTTCGCCATGGGCCTCAAGGATATGGCGAATGCCTTTGGGAGCTCGGACTGGTCCGAATTAGAGATCACTATTGCTCACTCCACCTCGGAGGCTAACCGCGCCCTCTGCCAGCAGCGGCACGATGATAGCATGATTGAATAACTGCTGATGAGGGGCCCTGTTGGTGAAGCCGTTCCAAGGTGGCGTCGTGGGGGACCCCTTCACGGTGGCCGCGTGTTTAAGCACGTTCTCTCGGGCGACGCTTCAATGGGCATACCAGTGGAGTCGGTCCGACCCGATGTCCCGCTTCTTGGTTTCGAAATGGCTGAACTTCCAGAGTGACTTGAGTTTGTTGAAGTATGCCGATGGCGTAAACAAAACAGTAGTGGCCTCCGACGAGATGACCCTGGGGGACCTCCTTAGGAAGGTTCGTAAGATGGACGAGGTTTTCGACTCGGTGATGAAGCCGTTCGGGTACGTTCAGAATCTCGGGAAGCAAGAGTTTTTGACGTATTTCGCATCCCAGGGGAATCGAGCTCGACAGGTGGTTCGAAAGGCGGTCGAGGGCATCCAGGGTAAAATCAAAGACAGCGTGAGGTATCTGGGCCCACACATTCGAGTTCGGGATTCGAGTCGCCAGGAGTTCACTCGGAGGTGTTCAGCTGCACGTACTGCATTCTACAGAATTGGAGGGACCTGGTCGTTGGCGATCCCCTTTAAGCTGCGCAAGCTTCTGTTGGTGGGCAATGCTCAGAATGCTCTACTGTCAGGCCTGGAAGCGTTTTTGCTCAGCAAGGCCGACTATCGGCGCCTGGACAATTGCTTGGCTTCTCCCGCTCGTATCGCGATGCTTGGTCGCGCCGCGCCCAGGGAGGAAAATAGGACACGCTCTCTGACTCACCCCCAGGTCCTTCTCTATTGGAGACTGCTGGACAGCGAGTGCGAGATGAGAGTCCGTCGTTTGAAGTGGTACCAGAGCTGGGCTGAGCGACCCGATCATCACATCCAACCGTTGTGCGCGATGTTCGGGGATCTTGAGGGCGAGGCAGAGCATGGGCTCCCACCACAGTTGCTCGAAGGGGTCCCATCTGAGGCAGCGCCCCCGTGGTTGTGTCAGATGACGCACGATCTTGAGTTTGCAGCGGGTGTCGTCGATAGCGAGGCGATCGATGTGCTGCTTAATGACATGAATGTGTTCGGGAATAAGGAGGAGATGGAGGATTTCTGCAGGATTGACATGGGGGTGCTCAGGGCTCCGAGGTCTCGGGTTCAGGTCCCACCACCAGGTTTGGTACCGACGTCGGCGGGGCTTGAGGGGCCTCCTGCAGCTCCAGATGGGGGTCCACAGCACGTGTGCAGGGCAGGTACGGAGACGGGCTTATGTGGAGCTGCTTTTTACACACGTAAAGCACTTATGAACCACTATCGTGCTCATCACAATGTACGTAGTCTGGCACATGTGATCACACCCACGAACATATGTGTGCACTGCAGGCAGGTATTCTCGAGTAAGATCACAGCTTCACGGCATCTCTTGGGGTCTATTCTGAGGGGAAGCTGTTGTACTACGGGACCATGGGCATTGGGGGAACTACAGCAGCCTCGGTCCTTAATGTGTTCCTTGTGTCTGTACGAAGCTGGCGACCTCCCTGATCTATGTAACCATTTGGCTTCAGGGCATCTTCCTTGGAAGTTACCTCCTCTGATCACCGCGCGGTCTACACATCAGCGAGCAGCTCTCGATGGCGGAGCTGGCACTGCCGTCCTGGTTCAGCGGCAGGAAGCGAGATGGCGACACCACACCGCCGCCGAGCGCTGGAGCAGCAGGCAGCGGCGGCCAGCCGACGGGGGGCAGCGGCAACAAGCATGCCAAGAAGGGCGACGGCAAAGGCAACAAGGACGTGGCGAAGGTCGTGGCGCAGGTCGTGCGCCTCCTGCTCACCGTGACGCGCGAGCTCGGGGACGTGGCCAGCGTCGTGTTCCTCGGGTGGGACATCGCCCTCGACAGAGGGCTTCCAGCTGCCTGTCCGTGGCGGGCAAAAAGTACGACGAGCAGAGCAAGGCCATGAGGGCCAAGCAGCAGGCGGGGGAAGAGCAGGACTTCAAGCGCAGGGGTCCCCCGCACCTCCAGATTTTCGCATCGGCAACGCAGTATTGTGCGACACGGACTCCTACAGCGGGATCTACGGAAGAGGTCGAGAAGCAACTGGCTCAGGACAGCAAGGAGTGGTGGCAGCAGTATATGAGCGAGGACATCTCGCTGAAAGTGATCGGCAGGGCGGTTCCGTATTTTCGTTGCAAGCCGCTGAAGAAGGAGAACAGGGCGATCATCATGATGCGGACCGACTTCAACAAGCCGATGGGCGTGGAGGCGTCGAGGATCCTAGAGGCGGCGATCGAGGCCGAGGGCGGGGAGTTTCTTCTAGGATCGGCCCCACGGGGGGCCATAGAGAGGGAGCTTATGGCCTGGGTGAACAAGTCAGAAGGAGCTTGAGTGGAAGTTCGCGGCTTCAGGAGTTGATTTCTAGAGGATTGGTGGCGCCAGATATTCTGGAGCGTCCAAGTCGAGCACGATCGGCTACGACGTACAGTGACCCTGGGTTGCCGCCAATCCCGACCGTAGTGCTGCCTCGTAGTAGGCCGTTGCAGGCTAGAGGGAAGGGTCGGGGTGGTGGGTCGGAGCGGGGGCGGGGGAGGAGAGGAGCCCTCTGAGCCTTTGGGCTGGCGGCCATGTGCGGGCTGCGTGCCTGTTGGCCTGCCAGTCGGGGCCAGTGCCTCAGCTGGGGTGAGCGAAGGTCTCGCCTCAGGGAGTGAATGTGGGGTCCGTAGTGACCCGCCTCAGAGTCCTAGTGCGTGTCGAATTGCGGTCTGAGTTCAGGCAGAGAAGCAGTGCGGCTTGTTTGCACAGGCAGGACTCCATGATATGGTCTAAGGTCTAAGGTCTCCCTCCTCCTCCTGCTCCTCCTTCTCCTTCCTCCTTCCTCCTTCCTCCTTCCTCCTCTTCCTCCTCCTCCTCCCTCATCGCGTCTCCTCGGTGCCTGGAGGAGGCCGCCTGGCCCGGCCGAGGACCGCGCAGCAGATGCTGCACGACCAGATCTGCACGGCCTCCCAGGCCCACCGCGCCACTCCCTGGGGGGATCGGTGGGGGTCTCTGCATGAGCCGTTGCGCCCCTGGAGGGTCCAATCGAGCCAGCGGGAGAGAACACATGATTATCATAAATAACGACGAATCATTTGAAGCACGATCATTGGATAACCATAGCAGTAGTGTAGTAATATCATAATCTGAGTAGTAAGAAAAGGACGAATAAGAAGAAGGAGAAGGAAACGAATATCGCGAGGGGGTCTTACAGGTCTGGGTTTGAGGTTTTTAGGTTCTGGGGCCCCAGGCTTCCAGACTTTGGCCCTCGGCCTCGGTTCCAGACCCCTCCATCCCCCAGCCCCGGTTGGCTCTGGGGGTGGTGTTGCCAGAAGTGCCCCTGGCCCAAGTTGCCCCAGCATTCCCAAGGAGGCCCCCACGGCCTCCAGAATACCCCTCACGAGGCCCCAGGGCTCCAAAAAGGAGCGAATAGCTGGGGGCACCTTGGGCCAGGGGTAATTGTAGCAACTCCTGAGGTCAGGGTGGTGGTGGTGGCAGGGAAGCTTTTCCCCCTTCCCCTTGCGATCTGGTTGAGGCTAAGAACGCGACGGCCTGTCTTTCCTAGTTGTCGGCCTCCATAGAGACCGCTTCGCCCGCCGGCTCCAGGACCGCGAGCAAGGAGGCACAGGATGAGAGTACAGCCCCTGGGAAGTGGCCGACGCCAATTCGGACAAACAAACTGCATTGTCGGAGGAGAGGGTCCTCCTCCTCCCTTGCCCTCTCCTACGCTTCCCTTCCTGCGGTTCCGCCTCCTCCTCCTCCTCCTCCTCCTCCTCCTCTCCTCCCTCACCGCCTCCTCCTCCTCCTCCTCCTCCTCCTCTCCTCCCTCTCCTTCTCCTCCCTCTCCTCCTCCTCATCTTCCTTTTCCTGTTCCTTCTCCTTCTCCTCCTCCTCCTCTTCCTTGGCCCATCTTCCCAGTTCCTCCTCTCGTGTCCATCCACCCTCTCCGCCTCCTCCTCCTCTTCATGCGACCCCGCCAGGGCAATTTTAAACCATCCAGGGCTCATTCCTCCTCCTCTACTTTCTCCTCCTCCTCCTCCTCCTCCTCGTCCTCTCCCTTTTATCCCCCCCTCCTCCAGGAGGAGGGCTGAGCAGGAGCATGAGCAGGGGAGGGAGGAGGAAGTAGGTAGGAGAGCGCGGCGCCGCCGCCAGGCCGCAGGCCAGGCGCAGACCGACCTGATCGTCCTCTTCATGATCCGCAAAGAGCCCTCCGCCGACTCCTCCTCCTCCTCCTCCTCCTCCTCCTCCTCTTCCCCTTCCTCCTCCTCCCTGTCCTTCCTCTCCCCTCCTCTCCGCCTCCCTCCTCCCCCCCCTCGCCCCATTGAGCACGGCTTTTTGCGCATGCCAGCGTTCGACAAGCTCCCTATCTCCTCTTCTTTTCACTGTCGCACGCCGCGGCCGGTCGAGAACGCGGGCTGGGCGTTTCAGATGGAGGCCGGGCCGTTTTCAAAGTGTAGTTCTCGCCCTAGCGCCGCGCACATGCGACGAAAGAGCTTCACGGATTGATGGCGGTCCGTTTTCAAATTGTGGCTCTTGCATTAGCGCCGCGCACACTCTCTTGACACAGTTGCAAGAACTTCACGGATGGAGGGCGGTACCTTTTCAACATGCGGTTCCCGCCTAAGCGCCGAGCGCTATCTTTTATAATTACCCCAGTGCGACCCTACATAGGAGTTGGAGCCCCTAGGAACGCAGCACACGCTAAGCTAAGCTAAGCTAAACTAAGCTAAGCTAGCTAAGCTGATATATCTAAGCTAATAAAAGCTAAGTTAAGCCAAGCTAAGCTAGGCTAGGCTAAGCTAAGCTAAGCCAAGCTAAGATGGGACAAACGATGCTGATCTAAACGAACTAAGGTAAGCTAAGCTGAGCTAAGATGATATAAGCTAAGCTGGACTAAACTAAGCTAAGGCAAGCTAAGCTAAGCTAGGCTAAACTATGCTAGGCCAGGCTAAGCTAAGGTACATTAGGCTAGGCAAAGCTAAGCTAAGCTAAGCTAAGCTAAGCTAAGATGAGAGAAGCAAAGCTAAGCTAAGATAAGCTAGACCGATCAAATATATGCGAAGGTAAGGTAAGCTAGGCTAGGCTAAGCTAAGCTAAGGTGAGATAAGCTAAGCTAAGCTAAGCCAAGCCAAGCTAAACTAAGCTAAGCTAAGCTAGCCCTCTAGGCAGAGCCTAGGGTAGGGACCCCCGGTTGCCCGGGGAACCGCGGGGCGGATCCTGGGGGAACCGCCCGGGGCGGTTTACATTGCCCGGCCCCTTTGAGAGAGCACGGTAAGAACCTTTCTAGGCAGAGCCTAGGTAGGAAAAAAACATCAAACAATTGCAACAATTCACGGCGTGACATGGCTACTGTAGCGAAATAGCCGGCGAAATTTCCTCACCCCAGGCACAAAATTACCAGCGATACATTACATCCTCAACCCCCTGACTCAAGACCGCCGGCGAAATATCCTCACGCCCGGACATGAATGCGCCATCTAACGGCATGGGTAATTCAGTGCGGTTCCGTCAGTCAGTCACGTCTACTTCCCGAAATTCAAATTAAGGGCTGCGCCCGCAAGAGAGCCCTCTGCCATGGGTGTTCGATCGTGGACCCGTTGTCGAACGCTGCCAGCCTGCTTCTGCGCCGAATGTCGCCAGGAACCGCCGGGCACTTCCAGGAGCGACCGAAGACCGCCGAAGTCTGTCAGAAGACTGCCGAAGACCGCCCATGGCCGATGGCAGCAGGGGGTCAGTGGTCGAATGGGTCGCCCTAACCTCTTGCTGCCCCCCCGCCCTGGTCTCCGCGTTCGCGCCGCCACCTGCGCGCGTGGCTTTCTGGTTTCGCGGTTGCGACGCGGGCGGGGCGCGGCGGGGGCGCGCGCCGCGGCTGGCGGGGGGGGGGGGCGAGGAGCGGGCGCAGGGCCCGCGGCGGAAGCTGCAGCTCGAGCGAATCAGCGGGCCCCGCCCACTCACCAGGGCCCATTTCCGGTCGGTCGATCGGATCTGGTTCGATCCGATCCGATTCCGACGCGCCGGGGCCCGACGCGGCCCGATGCTCGCGCGGCTCTGATTTGCATTCTGGCGCAGCGGATCTGATTCGATATCGACTGCGCACTTGCTGCTGGCGCGACTCGACCTGGCGGGAAGTCCGACCCGCCCCAGTTGATCGATTCGTCGCCGAGACACTGCGCCCTCTTCCCCGACTCCAGGGATAGGGGGGGCCGAGGCACCAGTTTGATCGATCTGTTTGTAAACGACCGTTCCTAGGAGGCGGGGGTTTCTGTCACGCCGCGTTTAGTTCCAACTAGTTTCGCGCCGTCGTGGCTGTCGCCGCCGTCGCCCTTAGCGTCAGCATTGTCGCTCCATCGCCATTGTTACATCCGACATCGCCGCCATTGCCAACGACGCATGCACCGTCGCCATTGCCATCGCCATCGCAATCGCGACCGTCATGCGTGGACATCTTTTGCTCTCACATTTCAGTCATGCAATCCTCGATCGTTAATCCCCAAGTGGCTTTTGCACTCCCATTCTGGAGAACTGGGCAGGATAAGAAACGAGGTCGGAACAAGTTGCCCAAAGTGTTCTTGGCCGTTGCTGGAGACAAACACCTATTGGGGGCTTTCCTCCTTGGTCATTTGCGCGAGGTGTGCCCTGGCCGACTTGTTGCTGTCGCGGCAGCGCAGCGCGCGCTGGGATGGCCCTTCCGACCGCCAGGGCGTCGTCTCAGTCTCTGGGTATCCTAAGCAAGTTTTCTCCATGTGCGGAGGCAGATGCACGCCGCGCGCCCGCGCAGATTGGCCCCGCTCAGCATCATCTGCGTTCGCTATCTCATCTTGGCGGGCGCGGAAGCTTGATCGAGGTGTTTTCTTTCAATCTTGGGCCCCAGGACCCTCACAGATCGATGCGGCTCGACAAATGGTGCAGACAGATTGGGTCTAGGGCTCCGATCGTGATTTTTTGCGATGTTGCACTTTTGTCGCTACGTCTGATCTCAGGGCCCCCCGCGCCCCCGCGCCCCAGGAGGCCGCCGGAGCGGTCATCGGCAAGTCGGGCGCCGCCTCGCGCCCTGAACCCCGCTGGGCCTGGGGGCTGCCTCCGTGCGCACGCGCGGGTCCTTCGGACTTCGGAGGCAAGAGGTTCGGGGTCGGGGACCAGGGGAATAATGGGTACAGAGTCCAACACCAGGTAGTGTCCATTGTGCACAGAATTCGCTGTCGGCGGCGCCGCGGCAGTTGCCCATCTGGGATATAGGCTCGCCTGCCCGACAGAGGCCAATGTCGGTTTTGGACGGCACTTGTTGCTGGACATCGTGCGCATTGGTTCCACACCAATTTCGGGTATTCAAATGAAGGGGAATGGACAGGACAGGGCGGGCATCACACGCCTTAGCCAAGGAGCCTCGTCGAAGGCATGGGCGATCGAAGCTTCTCGGGTACATGCAGCTGTGCTTTCCCAGCTCCCAGCCCGTCTAGAAACGATCCCAAGGCGAGTTGTTCTGATCAGGAGAGCGTAGGAGCATCCAATGGAACATGCTCAATACGCTTATGATTCATGATTAAGATTCTCATGCCGAGGGCTGCCACTAAACCAATGTATGGCGCAACCCCCAGGCAGAGTTGCGCGATGACGGTGCATTCCGCGCCACGTGGCTTAATGGTGCGACTTTTTTTTCTGATTAGGAATCCCACTACCATTCGAAAGGCCCGAGAGGGGAACGCCCCCCCAGTCTTCTAGTAAGGACAGATGGCAGTTTCTCGAGGGAATGCACTCCCGAATGGCCGTACATTCTAAGGCAATGTTGTTCAAAACCATTTCCAAGACTTCGGAGCTCGAGAGCGAGGCCTGGCGATCATGGCTGGGATGGGAAAGCGCATTCGAAGGCAACGCAGCAGTCGGAGATCGAAGGGATGACCGTGTCAGTTTAGGTTCAGTGAGGCTTATCATTGACACATGTTGAATGTTTTATCTTATCGCTGGGAGTTCTGTTAGGAGTGCCAATGCTGTGGGCAAGATACGGAATCTGTGTCCAGACATTATTCTGAATACTGCCAGACGCTCCAGTAGAGTCTTAGGTTCAGTTAGCGCGGCATGCCGTAAATTTCAAGACGGCCATTTCAGAGCATCCGTCATGCCCGAAACCCCGAGCGCACTTTCAGCTGGGGGGCGATGCGTAGATCGCGGGTTTAATTTCTATTGACTTGCACGCCCAATGTCATATGCAATATTGCCCGATGGACAGAGTCGATTTGACAGTTGATGGAAGTCTGCCGTATCTCACGCTTTCAGGAAGGGATGTTTTAGGCCGATGGAGGTGCGCAGTCGCCCAGTGAGCTGTTGCTCTCGAGAGGTGTAGTTGCGCGGTGCCAGGCGCCGCGGCTTTCTGGATGATGTAGAAGCGGCTGGGGGCCCTCCTGTTAGGTCAGTCCAGACCCGCGCGACCGTCGACTTGCATACTTGAGAGTTGATTGCCGCTCGCAGCTGCCAAGACGGCCGACCGATCCAGTCGGGCGATTCGTCTCCGCGGGGAACGGAAGCTGTGGATGTCACCACCTATTTTTATTGTTCGCCTTCGATCGCACGCAAGTGCGGCCGAACATGCAGTGCAGCGGGCGCTGCTGCGGCTAACCCGACGCCACCAACTCAATCTTTTTTTCCGGATCGGGGAATTCGAGCGGCCCATGGGGGGCTGTCTCGGGGAACCTACCCCATTACTTCCAATATGGGTGCTTTGACTATACCCCCGCCTCCGACAAACCTGAAGCAGGCGAGATGGTCGGCCCTGCTGACGAAGATTTGGTCGACGTCGTTGAATCACCGGCCGAACGAAGAGCGGTAGGCGTTGAAATGTCGAATGCCGAGCGCCCGAAGAAAGACGCAGTCTCCGCCCGACATCTTGCGACGCATCTCCGTCGTAATCCTTTCATTTGGAAACGCGCGGACTGGCGAGGGCCCCTTGATTGCAGCACCGCAAGAGCCAAAACAGAGGGCTAAAAGTCCCCAGGCCGTGCTCCGACCCTCCATTCGGACATCCTACCACCGTGGATCGCTGGCTTACGGCTGATGAGCTATCGCGGGGACTCCACGGGGAAACTGCGCGCGGGCCATCTCACGATCGGTTTTCGAATTTCACTACTGCGCAGGGCGCCCGTGGCAAGTCGACGGCCCACGCGTGCAATTTCTGTATGAACTTTAAAACCCCGGGGGGATAATCGAAATATTGCTTGCGTTGCGCACGGCGCTCGTGGGCCCGCGCATGAAGGCCGGCGACTTCGCAGCGCACGCGGCGACGCCATCCCAGGCAACCAGATGCTCACTGCAGTCGCTGACAGATCGAGCGGGATCGTCCAGATGGGCACCCGCGCATAACTCAGCGCCGCCGGATTGCCGCCGCCGTTCCGGGCTCGCGACGCGCGATATTTTTGTCTCTCCTAAAATATTAGAAAGGGCAAGGAAGGGGGAAGGGGCATCTAGTTGGCAAACGCGGTGCGGATCATTTTTTTGTCGCCGTTCTTCTTCCTGCCCCCTCTCATTCGCCACGCGCCGCCGCTCGAATCTCGATGCTGAGTGGCCAAGACAGGTGGCGTTATGTTTCAAGGGGGGCGCATCTTTGGCATGCGCACGAAGCGGGGGAGATCTTAAGACCAGAAAGTTGCGTTGCGCTGCCCCTTTGGGGCCGCTCGAAGGTCTGGCCGGGCGCAGGCCTGATGGCGCTCGGCTGCTCACTGAGAAATCTGAACCAGTTTACAGTGATATTATTGATCCGATTGCGGAGGCCCGAAAACCCCCGGGTTCCCCGCGAAAGACGCATTCGAAAAGGCCATCGCCCAAATTACAGTGACGAGAGTGCCGCCCATAGATGCAGCTGAGAGCTCTTCCAGCCGAGCTCGACCGGCCGTGGACAGCTCAGCTGCTCGCGCAGACCGACGATGGCGAATTATTCGATCATCCCATTCCGCCACCGCCCCCTTCTGCGACAGATGGGAGAGGCGAGGCCGAAATAGAATCCGACCCAGAAGACCCATGTGATGATGAGGGCCCAGGGGGTCCGCGACCGATCGAAGGGTCCTTAGTGGTAGACGGATCCGATCATCAGCGGGGTGCTTCAGAGGAAACGGGAGGGGAGCTAGGTCTTCGCTCTGCCGAATAGAAATTGGAGATAACATCGCATTTCTCACGTGCATGTCGCGGTGCCGGGGGGGGGGGGGGGCTCGGCGCCAGGGCGACGATTCGCCCGCGCCACTCATTTGGGCGCGAAGGAATGTCGTGAGGACGAGCAATGTGTCTCTGGATGGTCCGCGGGCAAAGTGCGTTAGAAATTGCCGGCAACGGCGTGTGCGAAGGGCGCGCGCAGCGCGCGCAGTCCTCTTTTCCGATCAGATTTGCGATTCTCCATGCGAGGCGAGGACCCGCATTGCGGCAGTCAGCTCCTGAAACACATCCCTGGATCTACGGGTCCTGGGGCGCGCGTTCCAGCAGGCGACCGCGCGTGGCGCAGGGTCCCAGCGGAGAACGCAGCCGTGCCATAAAGAAGAACAGCGCCGAACGTGCATGACTTTTCGCAGTTGAAGACGCGGGGCCACGTCTGGCACATTCACGAGAAATAGTGATCACGGTTGCGAGGGCAGCACGAAGCGCAACAGCCAGCGCTGCTGTAGCTGGAGAATGTTTGCCCCGCAGCAGCCCATGCGTTGACGATTGTGGAGCTGTTATCGGACTCCGACACGGAGTCAGATGGCTTGGCGGCAACCAACGCTGCGGGGGGGGGCGATCCTCCAGGGCGGCGACGCGCAGGTTCAACCTGGGACGACCATCGCCCCTGAGGCCCCCCCCCGCCCGAAAAGGGCCCGCCGGGCCGCGGGCCGGGCGGCCGCCGCGTAGCGGCGTCGCGCGCCCAGAACGCCGCTCCAGTCATCATCTTCCCATGGATAGCCGCGCAGAGAGAAAGAAAAGGTTGGGTCTGCAGGGCTGCTACAATCCTTTGGCTGACATAATCCAGGCGTTCGCACGGGGCGATCCGGCTGCCGACTCAGTCGGGGTGTTTTGTGATCCCCACTGTCGTTGATCAATGAATGCAGCAGTTCAGCCGGGGGCTCTTCAGGCCCTGCGGGCTGAGTGTGATTGCGACGAGAGCCAAGTTCAATCATGCAACGAAGTCATCAATAGTTTGCAGAGTAAGACTTCACACGTCGGGCGATTATTTGCGACCCAAACTAATGAGGATTCGGAAATGCCAGAAGGTCACAAGAGTCGCGCGCTCAAAGGGGAGTTATCTTTGACGGGTCTGAGGTTAGAGATCAGAATGTGGACGCTGCGCTCTCCCAGGAACTCTCGAGTAGCCCTGCCGCGACGCGCGCAAGCAAGGTGGCCGACGCGCGCAGGTTGTTTGAAAGAGCGTATTCTACCGCTGCTGGCGGAAAAATGGGGGGGGGGGTCCCAACCCCCCCCCCGCCCCCCACCCATCGAAAACCGAGGGTGGTCACAGCCGGTTCGAGCCCCCCCTCGCCCCCCTCCCCCAGTCCATCATGAACAGGGGGGGGGGTCCCTGCTGGTTCGACCCCGCCCCCTCCCTCGCCGCCGGCCTCGAGACAGTTGGACAGTGGTGGGGATACTGGGGCAGTGGTGGTGGCGGTGGTGGCGGGGGCAATGGTGTGGGGGCAATGGAACAGCGGCGCGGACAATGGGACAGCGGCGGGGGCAGTGGCGGCGGGGACAGCGGTGAGGGGGCAGCGGGGCAGCGGCGGGGGCAGCGGGGGCGGCGCGGCAGCGGCGGGGGCGGGAGTGGTGGGGACAGCGGCGAAGGCGGTGGTGAGGACCGTGGTGGGACAGGAGTGCAGCGGGAAGAGCGGCGGGAGCAGTGGGGACAGCGGGACAGCGGTGGGGACAATGGTAGCAGTGGGGCAGCACAGTGGGACAGCGGCGGGGGCAGTGGGACAGTGGGACAGCGGCGGGGACAGTGGGGGCAGTGGGACAGTGGTGGGGGCAGCGGGGACAATCGGGAGCGGGGCCGTGGTGGGACAGCGGTGGGGGCAGCGGGGACAGCGAGACACTGGT